GGCCCTTCCATCTTGGCTCGAGATTTTTCCGTTGGTGTCTGCGGATGAAGACCCAGTCGCATGGTTTAAACCTCTCGGGTTGCTGGGGGACAGCAGCTTCATATATGGCTCTGAGTTGCGGCCAGACCCGTTGGGTTAGCTGCAACCGTTGGAGTGAGTCCAGTAGGTCCTGGTCTCCCAAGGTCGATATTAGGTCAGCTTGGAGGCTAGGTATCATAGGAGAGGGGTTTCCATACATGATTTCAAAGGGGGTCAAACCCATCTGGTATGGAGTGTTTCTTACTCTAAAAAGGGCAAAGGGGAGGAGAGCCACCCAGTCTGTGCCAGTCTCTAAAGCTAATTTGGTTAAGGTCTCTTTTAGAGTTTTATTTATTCTTTTTACCTGTCCTGAACTCTGGGGTCTATAAGCACAATGTAGTTTACAATTGGCCCCCAGTGCAGTGGCTATTCCCTGGCTTACCTGAGAGACAAAGGCTGGCCCATTATCTGATCTGATTGTAGTTGGGAAACCATACCTGGGCAGGATCTCTTCGATTAGCTTCTTGGCTACCATGTGAGCAGTCTCATGCTAAGTTGGGTAGGCCTCAGTCCATCCAAGAGAAGGTGTCTATGAATATTAGTAAATATTTATATCCAAATTTTCCCTGTTTGATCTCAGTGAAATCAGTCTCCCAATACATACCTGGTTGTGTCCCTCTGCTCCTGGATCCTGGATTAGCATGGGACAGAGCTGGGTTGGTTAATTGGCAGGCATGTCAATGCCTAACAATTTTTTCAATGGCTTGATTTCCTTCCTGAATTTTAACTTTGGCCCTTCTTAGTAAGTCTTGCATCCTTTGGGTGCCCATGTGTGATGCTCGATGTATTTTCTTGAGCAATCTTACACCTAAATTCTGAGGTCGAATAACTTTTCCATCCATTGTCCTCCACCAGCCCTCTAGGCATTGAGTCATAGGGAGAGTTTGTATCCAGGCTAAGTCCTTGGGGCTATAGTGGGGAGTTTTAGGCAGTTCCCTTGCTCCAGGATCAACAAGAATGGGCAAGATCGTGGAGGTCAGGGCTATTTCTTTAGCTGTCCTGTCAGCCAGATTATTTCCCTTCTGG